TTGTACACACACCCCCCCCCCCCCCCCCCCTCGCTCTCGGCCTCCCTCTCTCTGGCTTTCCTAAAGAATTAAAGATGGCTTTCCTAAATTTTAAAGGAAAATATTGCACTCCCCTCTGTCCCCTGAATTACCTCAGAAAACCTAGAAGAAAACCTATTGAATTACCTCAGCAAACCTAGGAGAAAAACTAGTAAATACAGTAGTTGGAAACTGAGGGAAATAAAATATGAATGACAAAATGCTATCAATGATAGCAACACCCCAGACAAGACGCCTGCACCATCCCCGTCCATCACCACTCCAAAATACTCAAAGAAACAACAACTAAACAAACAACATGTTCTACAAATTCCTAATTTATGACCTTTTATTCACAATTTAAACAAGAAATACCCTTTTGCAACAAAACCCATTTTTTCCACCATAAAAAACGAAGGGCAGATAGGCAAAGAGAAAAGATGAGATATTGGCAAGTGAGAGATCTTAGAGAGAGGAGGCGGACTTACAGGCCCTGCTGGTCTTGGGTAGCCTGGTAGAGAGCATCGTCGCGATGGATGCGACAACGGGAGCCTGCGACCTGGAGGGACTGCTGGGGATCTCCACGCCTCTTGGCCAGGAACACTGCGCGCCTCTGCGCACGCTTGCGTGCAGCATCCATTAGATCGTGGACCTTTCTCTCGGATCTCCTCGCCTCATGCCACATCTTCTCTCTCTGTGTCGTACGAGAAAAGCCAGCCCTCTTTTTCCTCGTCTCAGTTTCTGTTTTCCCCTCCTCGATCTCAGCCTCTCTGCGCTCTTCTGCTCTCCTTCCCTCTCTCTTTCACACGAAAGCCGTATATATAAAAGAACTACATGCCGCTAATTAGGCTTTTTGCCCCCCAAGTATGCGAGGGGTGATTTATTTCGTTAGTGATTGAAGAATTTCTTCCCAGTCAAGCTACGATAGGAGGAAATATCACTTGAAAAATAAGGAAAAAAACCACGTTTGATAAATTAGAACTAGACTATTGAATTTTTTTTAGAGTATTGCGTCTTTTTTAGAATATTGAAAAGTCTAGCCTCCCACCCATACGAAAAGATAACTTTATTAAGGATATGTGCTAAATTTAATGGTGATCATTTAATGTCCTACACATATAGATATGAGAGGGTATCTTAAGATCATTACTTTTTTTTTTAATATAACAAATAAGATAAATGACCTTATGAAACCCTCCCACACCCATGTGTGTAGGACCCCAAAAGATCACCATTAAATCCTACACACATGAGTATGGAAAGGTCTCATAGGATCATTACTCAATAAATAAAGGTAGTGCCTCGTTTTTCATATATATATATATATATATATATATATGAAGGTGTGTTCGTATAAGTAGTCAACTTAACAATACCTAACGTGCACCTCCTAAACTTTATTGATGAC